AAAGACAGGGACCTGTTGGAGCGGGTCCAGAGGAGGGCCAGGAAAATGATCAGGGGGATGGAACCCCTCTCCTATGAAGAAAGGCTGAGAGAGTTGGGGTTGTTCAGCCTGGAAAGAGAAGGCTTTGGGGAGATCTTATTGCAGCCTGTCAGTACTTAAAGGGGGCTTGTAAAAAAGATGGCGGCAAACTTTTTAGCAGGGCCTGTTGCGACAGGACAAGGGGGAATGGCTTTAAACTAAAGGGGGGTAGATTTAGACTAGATCGAAGGAAGAAGTGTTTTACACTGAGGGTGGTGAAACACTGGCCCAGGTTGCCCCGAGAGGTGGCGGATGCCCCATCCCTGGAAACATTCCAGGTGAGGTTGGACGGGGCTCTGAGCAACCTGATCTAGTTGAAGATGTCCCTGCTCATTGCAGGGGCGTTGGACTAGCTGACCTCTAAAGGTCCCTTCCAACCCAAACTATTCTATGATTCTATTCTAAGAAAGGCCACATCAGAGCCCCGCTCCCAGAGAGGCACTGCTGTTCACTCCATGTCCCTCCCTGGCAGCTGCCCGCAAAAGCAGCCTCTCCCCTCCCTGCATGGCCTTGGTCCCCCCTGGAGGCCCCCGGCCTTGCCCTGGAAATGCAGGGCTTGCAGCCTGGGCCTTGTTCCTCACAAAGATAAACTGTGACATGAAATAACTCCTGACCTTTAAAAGGGAAGAAATAGGGCAAGTCCTTTTATTTTAAAGGCAATTTTTATACAAGGTGAAAGGTGGCGAACTTCTCTTCAATGGGAAAGTTCCGGTTCATCCCATTGTTTGGTAGGTCCCCAAAGTTCGGAAAAACAGTAATGGTTTTTCTTCACAGCATGTGTAGGTAGTTCAGAGATTTCCTTTTGTGGACACTGGCATGTTGATTCCCCAAGCTACCCCATCACTAAATTGTTTCCGGTACAGCCTTTAATTTATTATTGTTGCAAAACACAAATAGACCTACGGTCCTTGTCATAAAAAGATTGCCATCTCAGGTACACGAGCTTAAGCGTTACCATTTTCTGCATCTCCTTCTCCAGTCTCACATTCCAACGTGAGGAAGAGCTCCTACTCCCAAAACATTTCTAAAACTCCCACAGGCACAAGCCTGCCTTAGATAAAATCGCTAGATTTTCAGCATCCTGTTTCAGCCTGTTACACAGGGCTAGTCTTACACATGACCAAGAAAGCCAATATATGGAACTGGCTACACGCATGAAGCCCAGCTGTGCATCCACAGCACCAGGCACAATGATATAAGAAAATACGTATGTCATACTGAATACAAGATTTGTTTCCCATGTAATCCTCCCAGGTTATATGAACATTGGGCAACCTAATTTCCTCCAAGTAAGCATTCCTTTAAAGTAATTTCCTCTGCTATAGCATTAGCAATATTTTCTTTGATTTTTAACCAGATAATCCCCAAATTCACAACAAATTCAGGACTTCCATCAGCCTCCTTCCCTCCACC